GACTAGTGCATATGAAGATCTTTCTAAAATCCTTAAGCATCCCAAATTTTGCAAAGAGGATATCATTACAAACATTCAACATTTTTGTAAATGGAGATATAAACTACCTCTTCTTCAAATTAAACAGCATGATATACCTATTTGCGAAAAAAAAGCACCATCTACACTTTTATTTACTAAAAAAGTATTTGTCATATCCCTCTTGGCGCATTTGGAACGTGTGCTCAATAACCAGGTACTTATGTCCAAGATGCATTTTGGACCTGGCATAGTTAAAGAAGAAAAGAGTGAATTCTGGCATGGGGATCTCTGGCAGAAATCTCCACTTTTTGGAGAACATCAAATAAAATGTAAGGATAGAGGTTAGTATATTTACTTTGCATGGCCTTAAATGTAAATTTTTTTTTTTTTTTTTTTTTTTTTTTTTAGTGGGTCAATAGCAGGGACCTGCAAAAATTTGGATATCAAATCAAAAAAATTTATTTGGGTATCGACTAAAATTTGGATGAAATTTGGGCCAAAAGTGTAAAATTTTAGAAATATTTAGATGAAATTTGGGCAAAAAGCATAAAAATTTGAATTATTTTTCTTTAAAAAAAAAAAATTGTTCGATTCTGAATCTTCACGACGGACATGCCTAAAATTTCCAACTAGACATTATTCTGATTTTGGTTCGTAATTTTCTGGTTTCCCAAATAGTTACTAAATAGTTGATTTTTTATTAGTCAGATCACATGAAACCTGAAAAAATCATCAAAAATTTGACTAAAATTTGGATATCGGGGCTAAAATTTGGAACCATTTAGATTGAGAGCAAAAATTTGGAAAAATTTGAATCCAAATTTTTGCAGATCCCTGGTTAATAGCTATAGATCAAAAGGTGTTTTTTATCTGTAATTTATATATTAATCTATGAAGATAACTATTTTTCTTTTTTAATAAAATAAAAAATTAGAATTTTATCATCCCAGTGATTTTCTTTTATGTGAACAAAAAAAGATATGCCGCATTCGCAGCATAGTAATTAATAAAATAGATAAGACACATAAACTAAAAGTTGACCAACTTCTTCGAAATAAGGATCTTCCAAGTAATCGTTCTAATATTCGCCATAATCGTGAGAACAATGAAAAGTTATGGCTAGTTGAGGATAATCCTATATTTATTGATCTAGCAAATATTAATCGACGTATTGTGGTGTGGCTACGTGATTTACAAGAGCCTGAAAATTATAAATTTCATGTTCGAGAAATTATCTACAATTTTGGTAGTTGCTGGAAATTTTAGGATATTTCAAAAAGATGTCAATTACCTATGGAGTATATTATATATAAACCACCACCTCAACCCATGCCAGTATTAAAAATATTTTTTGACCTTTATGTAGATGATTTTGGCACGTTTAGAAATGTATACCACTCTTTAGGTAGTATATACTTACAATTTGGTAACATGCCATTCTCTTCTCGTAAGCTACTTAAAAACCACTTTCTAGTTGGTTTAGTTCCATTTGGAGCCAAATTTGACGATTTTATCAAACCCGTACTCGATGATATAAAACAACTAGAGAATGGCATAATTATAAATACAATACACAGGAGCACATGAGTTGTAGGTGGTCTCAGATGTGTAATAGCAGACTTACTCCAAGGTAATGACCTTGTGGGTGTTAAAAGACATGGGGCCATTCACGGATGTCGTACATGTAATGTTGCTAGTAATCAACTTACTAGCCCGAATTATAACTATGTCGAAAATGCTTGATTTCAACAACAAACTAAAAAACAATTACTAGATATCGAATACCAGAAAGGCAAAGTTAATAAAGGACGATTAGCTACTGAGTATGGTTTAACAATCTCTTCTGGGCCTTTTAATTCACTTATGTGAGATCAGCATATGCAGACTCTACAGGACATTTATCATTCGATGGGAAGTAAAGCTCGAACATTATTAAATACGACACTTAATATACTTAATACTAGTGATGAGAAGGCCTTTTTAAAAAGTTAGAAAACTATCAAAAAACATCCTTGTTGGACTCGAATGCCCAATCTGTTAAGGCATCATCAAAGCTTTATGTTTTCAGATACATTAAAGCTTGCTATATTGATGCCATTTATACTTTGACGGTTTTTAAAATTTCAGCATATAAAAGCTAAAATTTTAAAAAAAATTACAAGAAAACCTCGGTAAAGGAAAAGTTATTACACAATTATGTTCTCTCTGGGCTATTGAGGCTAAATCAATTAAACTTATATTCATGGCACCCATGACCGATATTACTTATCAAGAACTACAAAAGTTATTAATGAAAGAGCGCAATATACTTATTCAAGTAAGTCTTTATAAATTATATTTATTAGATGGTTTGAGGTTAAAATTTTAATTTTATCTGCTCTTAGCTGTTTTCAGAGCTATATTTTAAAATTTTAAAGCAGATTTTACTTAAACAAAACTATAATACATAACCACTATCTATACTTATCTAATAATTAAGGCTTCAATTGGGATAGCATTTAGCAGTCCCATGATCATCGGGCCAATCAGACCAAAACTTGAGCTTAAAAAATACCTAAGATAAGTTGATATTACCCATCTTAAGTATTTTTTAAGTTTAAGTTTTGGTTCGATTGGCCCGATGATCACAGGACCACCAAATTTTTGCTTAATTGAGTTCTTATTACTTTTGGTCTGAGATCACTTGCAAGCTTGAAAGATGAGTTTTTTTTTTTCTTTTTTTCTGATTCATTAAAAATACCTTTTTTGTAATGCTATAGCACAGTATTCCTACTAATTTTAAATTACTTGTTTCACAATTAGGTCTTAATATATTTCTCACCCAAATTTTATTAGAGTCACGACTTCAAAATTGTGTTACCACTACGTATAAAGCTGTTTGAAATTAAAATTTCGTTTATCGTTCTTCTCCTCCACATCCACGAGCTCCCTCTAAAATCAAACAGGCTAATCAGAACGTTCATTATGCCAATAAGTCACATGCCTACAAGCCAACCGTGATTATTTTGTGATATAACATAATGTTTGTTTAAATTAATACCCATCCTCCACTGTGCTTAAGCTTCAAAAGGGAATGTTAAACGAAATTACAATTTAAAACAGCCTAATGCTAAAAAAGAAATTAAAGAAAATAATGATAATTGTAGAATTGTATTATACAATAATCACTAGTATATACATATAAAGTTTTGAAAATAGCAACGTATATAAATAAAAAAATGATAAAATTTTAATTTCAAACTGCCTTACAATTTTTGCTATGTATTATATGTATTAATTATTATTTTTTTTAAAAACAGGTATTTCCAGAATGTTTTAAAAACCTACCTAATCTTCATGCAAATATACATCTTTTGCAACATGCTCGAAACTTCGCAACACTAACAAATGTTGCCATTGGTGTAAAAGAAATGGTTCACCACATTTTCAAGGGAATGATTCCCTATACAAACTGCAAGATTATTGAGCTTGATCTCACTCAACACTATAATACAATACAGGTATTAAGGCATATCTTTGACAGCTAGCAAAATCTCCGGTTTGGTACTAGTGCCAATCCATTTCCTAATCTCGTTACGAACTCCTATCTTAATAAAATTTTTTCAAATTGGTATGCTTTTAGCAATACACCACTTGCCTCAACAACTGAACAAGATAAAACAAATAATGGTAACTAGTAAATTTAATTTTTTAATAAGGCACTTTATTTTTATTAAATATATAAAATAATTTTTTAGGTACTGGGTGCGTCGTTTGCCATGATGAGAATTTTACTAACATTAAACTTAAAGAACAGTGGAACATCAAGAAAATAACGAATATGGGTTTAAGTGTAACAATAAATGAAAATCATCCACTTTTTTGAGATCTCTTAAATTCATATGCGCAATATCTTGGATTTCGGTGTGTGTTGCTAAATAAAAAGCTAGAATTTTACAACTACATTATATACACTTTTCTTAATAATAAGAAAGACTCTATTAAATTGAAATTTTATGTAAGAGATATCATAGAGTTAACAGAGAATCCAGGAAACATTACCTATGCTAAAATTAAACTAATTTTTAAGCATAAAGCAAACAATGAACAAAATTATGCTTTTTTTCAATTCGAGAAATTTCAGAGAACAAAGTTGTTTGATTCGGTATTGGAATGCCCATATTATGTTCAAAAGTTTGAAGAAACTTTTATTTTTCCAATTAACTATGTTAATCATATTTCTCAGGTTCATTTTTTGCATGCTTGCACAGACAAGTGCGATACTAAGCACAATAAAATGAATAATAGATACGTATTAAATAAATTTTATTACAATGTAATATAGCATGTTATATTAGAACATTAGAATCATTTTTTGGAGGATAATTGATTAAGATTTGGGGTGTCAACAATCAGTTTAATCACAAATTTAGAGCAAGACATATAATAAAAATCATTAGTGAAGATTTTTTTGAAATTGTACTATTTATAAGAAATTTTTATTATAATGTGTATACGTAGAAATTTATTATAATGTATAAGAAATTTTATAATACTTTATAAATATTTAAAAAATATGCGGTTATTACTTGATAGAGACACTCTTAAAGAATAATTAAAAAAAATCACTATAACAAAAGTTATTAAAGTTTGCGCGAAAGCATTTTTTAATAATAATTTTATAAATTGAAATTTTTAAAAATTGGTTAAAAAAAATCTTCAATAATGATTTTTACTATATATGTTTGTAATCAAACTGATTGTAATATTTTCAGATATGCTACGAATTTAAAAATTATTTAAAGTAAATTATTTAAAAATTTAAAAAGTAAATACAACATAATTATTACTAATCTTTCTATATTTACTAGTGAACAATTGGAAATAAGACATGGTGCACAATAGTGAAACTAGAGTTATAAATAAAACTAATCTTCAATGTACCAAAATAAATATATAACATACCTGAATTTCTAAACATATAGCAGATTGACATTTTTAATATCTTAACTTTCACAGCTTATAACGCAATGAATATTGTGGCTATCTTAATGATTTAATATTCAAAAGTAAGCTTGCGACCTAAGCTTTCTTTTGAACATTAAATCATTAAGATATTCTTAACATTTATTGAGTTATGAGCTGTGAAAGTTAGGGTATTAAAAATGTTAATCTACTTTATTTCCGTATTTGACAGCAACCTATATGATCTACCTACTGCATAATTTGCGTTCTTGATATTTTTATATAAAAACTCTTCTAAAAGTATTAAAAAGGTAACCTAAATTTAACTCATGACGATCGCTGAATTTTTACTATAATGACGTTATAATCTATAAATTTATAGACTACAGTATAAAGGTGATTTGTAATTAATCAGATTTCTTTTTATCTTCTACTCAAATGGAATTTATAACTATAACAAAGCCTAGATACAGAGCTAAATATATAACATTCCAAGAATATTAAAAACAATTTTCGAATATGAAATTTTTGATTTTTTATAATCAGCAATCATTGATAATCAGTTTTTTTTTTCGCTTTTTTACATTTGACTAACTCTTTTTTTCTATTTTTTTTTTTCGGACTACAGTTAACATCGTCGCTGTTGGAGTCACCATAGTTTGAGTCACTGTTAGTTAGAATAATCACTAGTGAGTTGCTGTAGTTTGAGTGGATTTCGTCACTTTTGGTCTTGACGTTATGCTGTTGGATCTTCGCTGCCTAGATAGAGTAATTTTAGATGGCCTTTTGACCTTTTTATTTCGTTCTTTGGCTTGACTTGCACATTCCGGTCTTGGGAATCTCAGGAGAGTATGAATTTTGACTTGTCATTCTTTGTTTTTGGAGATGTTTACTACTTTTCTTTCAGGTATTTTTCAAGAATGTCTTTGAGCTTTACGTTCCGGTCCTTGAAGTATTTAGAGAAGTATGGTTTCTTAAGTTTAGAGTTTTTGGGATATTTTCAGGATTTCAAGGCTTTTCGTCCGGTTCTTGGTATTTATGAAAGAGTATTTAGGAAGGGAGTGAAAAGCCGAAGTGAAGCAACACAAACTGTATTAAGTATAACGAAGTGGTGTATGAGAATGTATATTTGCATATAATCGATAGAATAGTTAAAACCGTAATACAGTGATGTATGAGAATGATATTTGTGTGTAGCTAATAGAATAGTAAACTCGTAATATGCTGGTGTATAAGAATGTATATTTGCGCGTAGATAGTACTTGTATCCTGTATTATGCAAGAGATAAATTTTGCATTAATAAAATTTTAAATTAAAAAAATCATACGTTGATCATGTGATCCAGGTGGCACCGTAGTGCTTTATTTATATTATTATTATAAATATAATAAGCTAATTAGTAGAATAAAAATATATTTAATTAATATATTTATTTTATAATAATTATATTATTGTTATATTGTAAAT